TTCTAGGCAAAATTGGATTGAGGTTAAAACATAAAAGTCGTATAACTTTTTCTTATCTTTTCAATCCCTCCAAAATCAATGAATCTAAAATTTGTGTCTCAACTTATGAAGTTTTTTTCTAACACCCACAATAACATTTTTGAGTTGCTACAACAATTTTCTTAATTTTAGAGGGTGTTCTAGGGTGAATGACTAGGTTCAAACCACACAAAGTTTTAAACCTCTTTCTCAGCTTCCTAAGATATCTTCAATCATGCTGATTTGAGTCTCCTAGCTTTGGGAACAAAATTTTTTTGTAAGATAGCAGCAAGCTAAAGGACTGTTGTTTTGATGTTTTGGCATTTATTCTTGTAGGATTAAGGTGTTGTTTGGTTCTACAACTCAGTGTAGGAGCTCAACTATGGGATTGAAATTCCCTTTGTCATCTTGGTGAAATTTGGTTACTTTCACTCAAGGACCTACTGAATTTTGCTCTATATTATAATTGCACAAGTAGGTTCCCAAGCTCTAGCCTTGCTGCTTAGACCATTGACGGAGCATAAGCTGAATCTAAACTTTCAGTTCTAACCTTTGCTATATATCTTGAGTTCCAAACTTCAGCTTGAGAAAGAATCAACTATGACATGTTGTTGCGCATTGGATACTGGAGTTGAAATGCATTACCAAAATTGGATATTGCATACAACTAGACTAGACTAAAAGCACTCCACAGCACAACAATGCCTTTTGCACCCAAAAATTGAATTTCTTCAACTTTAAGTGCCAACCAATCCTAACAAATTAGTTAAGCTTGATTAGATTGAATTTGAGCCTTGGAATTGATGTCCAATCTCCACTTTACATTTTGACATGTTGAAACCCAAATTGACTAACATGAGAAAAATTAAAATTTAACATGAAAAATGCTTGATAAGGCTCAATTTATGTAAACTCATTCATTTCACTCCAAAAAGAGGGAATTAAAGAATTTAATGAATTTATGCACTAATTATCCCATTTTAGGTAAAAAAAAAAATAGTGGAAAATACTTTATAAGCCCAATAGAATATGAGCATAAAAATATAGTAATAATTGGATTTATCATCTTGCCTAAAATTTCTATGTCCTTTATTCATAGCATCTCTTATTCTCTCCGAAGTAGCCAAAGATGGTTCATCAATATCAAGCATTTCCTCCTCTTTATATAAATCAACATTTTTGTTTTGTTATTCAGAAGGTTGGCAATTCTGCCTCCTTGCATTTGGTACTTGTACGGGCACAAGATATAAGTGGTTTTGCCTATTTGCATATGGTACTTGCATGGGCCTTCTTGTTTGCAATTCATTGATGCAATCATCCTGCCTTTCCATTATGTTTTGAATCTCTCCAAACATCACATTTACTCATTTAAATTGTTGTTGGATAGCTCTTTACATGAATGACTGATTTGTCTTCTCCTTGTTGCTTCTTGGTTGTGACATGGTGATGATTTTGCAAAATAAATGTTAATGAAATCCTCACTCATTTCCTCATGTATATCACTTCGCACTCATGCTTCACTCAATTCATTGGCTTTTTATTCTCTAATATGCTCACTCACTTTTGCCTTCTCTCTTGTTTTCTCCTCAAAGTTCTTTATAAAATTTAGCAACAAACAGGACAAGAGTAATAATCACTAGTAGCAATTCAAAAACAGGACTTATATATTGAAAGTAGCTAAACACAAACTAATTAAGATAATAAAGGATTTCAAGAAATTAAATAAGAAAGAAACAATGAAATTGGCAATACTAAATCAAAGAAAAGAATTTGGCAATACTAAATCAAAGAAAAAAAATTGGCAACATTTAAAGACACAAATTCACATTCTTTTTTGATGAAGAGGTTTGTTTCCAAATTAATAATTAGCAACTTGTACCACCTCGCATAATCTCCAATGGATCAAGAAATCAAAAGATAATATTTGATTTGGTAGAATTTGAAAATAGTATCTCTAAATGACTAATCTGTCGAATTTGTGTGGCCAAATAGGTTTCTAACTTTCTTGGCCAAAATTTCAATTCCAAAGAACCCTCAAATGTCTCCTTTGGATAATTTTGTTTCTTCTTCTTCTTCTTCTTTGATAACAATGTAGAAAACAAGATTTGATGGCAAGATGCACGGCACAAGAAACTGATGGACAAGAACAAAAAGAATAGGAGCAATACTTGTACTCAAGATTGGAGAAGAAACCAATCACAAAGAAAGAAAAAAAAAACAAGTAGGATAAGAGTAACAATTAAAAGGAGTCTTATTTTTTAATTGGAACAATCTAAAAAAAACTTTGATCTACCTTTTTTGCCTGAACTAAAAATGGAGTTACCATCATGGTGTTTTTTAAATCACTATTTTTTAAAAAATTATTTTAATTAAGAAAAATAATTCAACGATCTTAGTTGTTAACATTGTCTTTAGCTTTTTAAATCTTGTAGATCCTCGAAAAGAATCTCAGAATTATAAAAATATAAAAAAATAGAGTTACATATTAAAAGTTATGATTGTTTAAATTTTTTGTACAAAAAATAAATTCTAAGTCAAAATAAACTAGGTAACTAGTAAGTTTATTAGTGAATCGGCTAGTTGTATTAAACATTCAGAAAAAATTATTAAATTTTACTATTTACTTATTGAGAAATCGATTTCTTAGGACCTGATTTCTCAATAGAAATTGGGTCCGTATGATCTGATTTCCTAACATAGATAATATTTAACTTATTTTAATAAATAATTTTGAAACCATAAATTTCAGTAAATAAATTTTTTTATTAATATTAATATAAATTTGCCTAAATTTTAGTCTTATTTATTAAGAAATGAAAAAAAATTATTTTTTTATAATGCTAGAAATTCTAATTATCACCACTTCAAGGGTGCAAACATTAGGATTTTCATGGACAAGCGTTAAAGGTCTTTCCCAAAATCACTTATCAATGACTAAATACGTTATATTTTAAAATTTTGAAATTAAACTACAAAAATTAAAATAAAAATACCAAATTACAGACACTAAAAGTGAAATTTACTTATCTTTTTCTTTTCTTTAAATCCTAAAAATACCTGTGGCGGAGAGATATCCCTTTAGTAGCTAGCAAGTTTGGTCTTGTTAATTCTTAATTAATGAATTATTTGCATACCAACAATTTACGAGTTCTCATTTTCTTTTAGTAAGACTTTTATTTGGTATTTTTTTCTTTTTTCTAAACTGAAAGCTATAATATGAAAGAAGAAAGAAATAATTATTTTAAAATATTTCCTCACATAAACTGAGCTTTAACTTTGATCAATTATTTACATCCAGCAAAAGAGATATTCATATAAATAACTATTTTGGAGGAAAAAAATTTATGTTTTTCAAGTTAATATCGAAAAAAATAGTCAAACTGATTAACAATAAAAAGATATTTAAAAATAAAAATTTAATAAATATGTTATTTTTAACTGGTCAAACTGACTTTAACAAAATGGTTAAAACCGGCTAATTTACTAGTTCTTAACCGGATTTAACTAGTTGGATTTTTATTTCGATCATGGGTTTTATTTGAATTGCTTTTCAAGTCAGATCATGGTTGAACTTGTCAGACTAGCCCATCCAGTTTGGATGATAAAATATTACTTTGACTAATAGTTAAGGAAAAAATAAATAACAATTTATATTACTTATAAGTGATTTTCTGCATACAGTAGAAAGACAAAAAGGTGTCTTTGATCTTAAGACTTGTTGAAAAGGCTAATATAATAAATAATAAAAAAGGAAGCTATCTTTCTTCATCATAAATTGAAAATGTCATAATTAATTTACACGAAAATAGTAAGTAAAAACAGGTTAGATGTAAAGACATTTTATTTGTATCCTACCTAAATTGGGCAACGTTGTCTTCGGAGATGCTCATAGTTGTCTTCGGAGATGCTCATAAATTAATACAATAATGTAGGATGTACTAAACCTACGGTCAAGTCATATTGAACCTCTTTTCATACTTAGGTTATTTCAACCATTGAACACATCTCTCTTCAACTTCTTTATAATTATTTAGAAAGTTGACAATGTTAATATTTGCGTGCATGCAAACAACATAGGAGAAAGGGAAAATAGATTTTTGGTGTTTCTTTTCATTTTTTGTTACGTTTTTTAATTGAAAAACTATAAAAAAAATTTCTCTTAATAATGTCATGTGCAAGTAAAAAAAGTGAAGGCTTATTATTTCACTATCCATATTTGTTAATTAAATAGTAAAAATAATTTCTATTTTTGAGAGTTCATGTGAAAACAATATGTTTTTTTTTTCCTAAATTCAAGAAATAAGTGAATCTTAAAATAGTAAGCCATTTTCAACAAACTTGAGAAATATAAAAATTAAAAAAATCTACTTTGTCTATTTTCGAAAACACAGGTTGACCCGAACAGACTGGAAGGGAGCATTCATGTTACATCACCAAGTGCATTGACTTATGTAATCCCTTCCTCTACTAATATAGTTTATTGGGTTTACCAAAACAAAAATATTTTTTGTATTGAAAATAACTAAATCTGATATGTTTTATACTCTTTTTCGTAAACAAGCAGCTAAATCTTGCCCTGTTTGGCGCGTACATTAACCACGGGTTGAAAAATTGCGCCATCCCAAACAGAGCCAAAAAAAAGTGAAAACGTTAAACGGGCAAAGAGAGAGAGCCCTTACACGCGCTCACACTTTATAAATAAACTTGAGAGACGAAGGAGGGCGTGTAAAAACCAGGCCAGGCACAAGCTGAACCAGAGGGAGGGAGAAAGAAGAACTGAAAAAGTAATCTAAAACCCCCCTTCCCTCTCCAAAACCATTCGATCGGACACCCTCATTCACATTGTACCTCCACTACACCACCTTCGCACATATATATCTGTATATACATCTATACATATATACATACACCTGTACTATATCTATCTTCATATACAACACCAAGTTTAGCCATAAATGGAGAAGTATGGCGGCGCAGCGGCAATGGAAGGGTCTGTATCCGATCCGGCAGCCGAATGGAACTCATCGGGAGGTGAAACGGGGCTCGAAGGTCAGTCCTTTGACACTCTCTAGTCTAATTTCAGTTCAATTTCAACGTAATTTCGTGTGCATTAGCGTGTATTTGTGTTAAATCGGTAATGTGGGCTGTGTATTGGATTGTTTTTTGAGGTTGACTATGCAAATGCAGAGCCCGTGTGGCAGTTGGGGCTGGGCAGTGGACCCGACTCGTACCGGAGCGACCCGACGTGCCCGATTGTATGTTCTATTTGAAGACCGGGTTTTGTGGGTTCGGTGCACGATGTAGGTTCAATCATTCCGGGACCGTGGTTCGGTAAATATATTCAAAACCCTCATTGTGCGTTCAAATTTTGTGTATGTTAGGGCTTAATTGGTAGGTTTTTATGAATGTTGTGGGTGATGATTTGAATCCGTGCCTGTAGTTTAGGCTGATCTTATGGCTGTTTTAGTTTCTAGTGGCGAAGACATATAGATGTGATGCTGATTGCACATAATTCAGTCTTTCTGGCTTGTCAGATCGATGCAAAGTAATGGGTGTTGCTATATTGAGAAAAGAAGAAGTTGATTAGGACTTGGAAAATTAAAATAACATTGACTGAGAAATTTATTACTCTTTTAGTTAAATTGATGGGTATTAGTTGCCAGGTCGTGGGAGCTATGAGAGCTGGAGGAGGCGAGTATCCAGAGCGAGTGGGCCAACCAGTGTGCCAGGTATGTGGTTTAAACACTTCTCATAAAAGTTTAGTTCTGATATAGTTATTAGATTCTTGATGCTGGGTATGTGCATTTACTATTTTTGGTTGGCTTAATCTTCCTTATTTGCTTGTTATTCTATGGTAGGAACAAATCCCTAAGCTTTTTGATTTTTAGTATTTGTTTTTTAGTTTGGTACTACATTTGATGAATATGGGATATTTTACTAAGTTGTTATTTTCCAACAACTTCTAGTATTATACGAGGACAGGAACGTGTAAGTATGGTGCATCCTGCAAGTACCACCATCCAAGACAGGAGGTGGATCTCCCATCTCTGTGGCACTCAACATTTCTGGCTACCCATTACGACCGGTTTGATTTTTAAACTTGTCCATCTACTCGTTGGTTTTATTTAGTATCCTTTCTTACCTGCTAAGATGGATCCAATTGATAATGTGTCAGGGTGAAAAAGAGTGTTCGTACTACATGAAAACAGGGCAATGTAAGTTCGGCGTAACCTGTAAATTCCATCATCCACAACCAGCTGGTACACAAGTGCCAGCTCCTCCTGCCGGACCTTTGCCTGTGCCAGCGCCTGTCCCACCTCCAGCTATTTATCCCTCAATGCAGACTCCATCCATTACATCATCTCAACAATATGGATTGGTAGCAGGAAATTGGCCAGTTGCAAGACCTACTTTGGTCCCAGGTTCATATCTTCAAGGGGCATATAGTCCTGTGTTGCTCCCTCCTGGGTTGGTTACCTTTCTGGCTGGAATCCTTACCAGGTAGATGCATTTTCTTCCTTGGTGAGTTCTTTGCTTGTTTTGAATTAAATATTATTGTGTTTATTTTCCTATGGTGTGGTGATCCACCTTGAACAGGCCCCTGTAAGCCCAGTAGCCTCCCCTAGCACTCAGCCCACCGTTGGGGGCCCCCTGCTTATGGCATAGCACAGTTCTCTCCTTCAGCACCTGCATTTATGGGACCCTATTTATCAGTGCCTTCTTCTGCTGGCGTGGGAAGTAGTAGCCAGAATGAGCATATGTTTCCAGAGCGACCTGGTCAGCCTGAATGTCAGTATTACATGAAAACTGGAGACTGTAAATTTGGGTCATCATGTAGATACCACCACCCACCGGAATGGAGTTCACTAAAAATTTTTTCCCTTAGTCCCATGGGTCTTCCCCTCCGTCCGGTAAGCATTTGGATGGGACCTCCAATTTCTATGATGATTCTTATGGGAAGTGCAATTATTAGTTTGGTTTTGATCATTGCAAGGAAGAATTACTTGGTTATATAATTTTATTGTTGGGTAAATGTGCTGAGATTTCTGAGTGCCCAAGACAACAATTGAATCTCTTAGTCGAGGTTGGTCCATATTATAGTAGTTTAATTGTTATTTTATTTATTTATTATTATTATTTTTTGTGGTTGAAATTTTGTTTCTCTTTTTCTGGGCTACAATAGCTTCAGATGCTACTTGGATATAATTGGTATACAACATGGATGTGAATAAACTTCCATGGCTTTCTTTCCTTTTTTTCCTTTTTTGTGTGTATGTGTGTGTGTGTGTGTGTGTGTGTGTGTGTGTGGATGCTGATCAATTTGATGTGAGTCCATCCATAATGTGTTTTAAGTATGCTTTATTTTGTATTCTTCCAAAGACTTTGTTTCATATGGGTAAATAAGTGTTTCCGGAAGAATCTAAATTAGTTGTAGACATATAACAAGTCATGAATGATTAATGAATGCTCCTTTTCTTGTTAAACATGAATTATATTCTCCTGTGCAAATGGTACATTTGTATATGTCAGAAAATGTTATCAAGATAGTAATTGCTTACTATAGTAGTGGCATAATAATGATGATTAATTTATAGAAATAATAAAAATTGAATGACCTCAAAAAGTTTCACCCTTCTGGCTGTTTTATTGGATTACACGATCCATTTCTTGGAGGAACACATCTTTTTGTATGAACATATAATGATACACATATATGAAGATCTAGACACCACTATTAGCTGTAGATAAATCATTCTTGTGCTCCTTACTTGTTCTGATTTTTGGGATATGGGTTCTGATAGTTTTTTCCTTTTTTTTTTTCTTTCTTTTCTTTTTTCTTTCCTCTTACTTGATCCTGTTATATATATATATATATATATATATATGAATAAATTCCAAAGATTATACAAAAAGTAAGAAAGAAATCATAAATACTTTTAAGAAAATAATGTTTAGTTATTTTAAACCTCTAATCCACTTTGTCTTGAACTCTCAGTTCGATTTTTGAAACTCAGATAAATTAAGGCACCTTGAATCATAAAAATATGGTTATCCTTTGTCACAGGACCCCTCTCTTTGTGAAGGTCGGGGGAGGGTCATTAAACATGCATAGACATGGCCCTACTTCATGGCACCCAACCTTATTGTTGATCTAAGGTTCACCTTCTAGCTTTAAAACATATAGGAAATTAATAATTTGGTATTGTTATTGTAACCTCTCCTTGATAAAAGTTTAAAACATTGTACTTGATCCTGGGCATCCTTGCCATGTTATAGAAGTGTCCAATGTATTGGACACATGTAGTTGATACTTGTGTCCTTCCTGACCTTCTGCATGTCCAGGGGAAAGCAAATGTTCAAAATAAAAAATGAGGCATCCCTGGACCAGTGTGTGATGTGTCCATGATGGTATCTAAGATGTTTTGGACATGGACTCTTGAGCTTCTAGAAGCGTACATGCTTCTTAAATTCAGGTAAAAGTAAAATATTTCTAATAAACTACATTCCAAGTGTCTAAAAACCTGTATAAACAACGCTCTATGGCTGTAGCATTGTCTTGATGATGAAGTGTTGACAATGCAGTAGTTATTATTTTTCCAGTGTCAAGGAGCTGACTTTAGTGTCCGCGTTACTGATTGATGGATTTTAGCCCTGCTTTGTAGACTTATTAGTCGTAACCTGGTCAATTAATTAAGTCTCAATGTCTTTTCCCTTCATGCAGTTGCTTTCTGCACACTGCATCAATACTCTGTTTTCTCATGTTTAAGTGGAAAAACAGTTCTAGCTTGGAAAACTTAGGCTTCATTTGGCAAGCCTTTTTAAATCTCAACCATTCACTTTTCTTTTGGTGGAAATCAAATTGAATGACCAGTTCATTTTTTATTCCATTAGATTTCCCTCCAAAAAGGACAAAGTAATAAACTAACTTATAAGTTGTGCCTAATTAATCTTTATTCAGTTGCCTCTACAATGAGGTCATAAATATGAAAATTTCTGAAGCATATATAGCATAGCTGTTTTTCCTTTTCTTGTATTTATTCTTGTATTGTAATTAAATTTAATTGAATGCCAACTAGGATTTTAAGCAGCATAGCATGTTAATGCTATCAGGTAAGAAGAAAATATAAGTTTACAATTCCTTCCACGTGTAGATATTTGTGGATTATAGTTAAAATGCAACTCAGGAGAACATACGCATTCACTCGGCTTTTATTCATATAAAAGTGGAGATTCAACTAGTTTTTAGAAAATGAACATAGTGATCGTGCTTATCAGAATAAGTATTTCTTAGTAGAATTCAGAGATTATTTGTTTGATCAGTCTATGATGGTCTAAATTATATATTTCTGATACAAGGTTCATGTTAGAGCTATTAATAGATGGTACTTTCAGAAACTATGATGCAGAGATTTCAGAGCGTTGCATTAAAGTATGTGATGGACAGAGGAGTGATCTAGATACATGAAATGTATAGGATGATTTACACAATCTTGATTGACATTAGAGGATTACTGCTGCTACTATTGTAATGGCCAAACAAATACCTGGTAGCAGAACCTGACAATGCAGCAATAGATCTCTTGATTTTAAGACACTTTTCTTGTTCAAGGAAAGTTTTCCTGTTTTCATTTGAGGTTTTATTTTTTATTTTTAACTATTTTTCTGCAATCTTTTTTATTCTTTTTTATATTGTTTTTGCAGGTTACAACTTGTTCCTTCAGCTGTTTAATTGTGTTTAGTTTTCATTAAATCTAGTTAAACTCTCTATAAACGGACAACTAAACTTACTTTATCTAAATCCACTTTCTCAAAACCTATTTTATTTATGTCCAATTTCCAAATTTACTTTGTTTAACTTTATATCCACTTAAACCTGCAACTAAATAATCAAATCACTCTGTCTAAACTTATTTTCTCTAAACCTACTTTATTTAAAGCCAATTTACCTAAAATCATTGAAAACCTTCAATCAAACAAGCCCTAGTAGGGTTAGGATATTCTGATATTTTTTCCTGAGACGAATTGTAGTTTCTACAATGAAATTATGATGGTCATAGTCTTGAGTCTTTTATACGGTTTCAGTAGGTTCAGAGTGTTCTGAGCCATAATTTTATCAGTTCTTTTGGTCAAACTTTGTAAAAAATAAAAGAATGTAGTTAGTATCAAATTTCCATATGATTCTTCTATTGGATAGCAGTTGATTTTGAAGAAGCTATGATTGTGTTTTTCAGGCGATCCCTTGGTTCTCCTTATCTTTGTTTCTTCAGCACAAAGATTTTCCTTATATTTCAATTTGCAGCATGTACTATAGTTGTTTTCATCTCTAAACCCCTGATAGATCAACCATATTTAAGAACCATGAATCTCATACTCTTTCAGGGTAGTCACATTTTAGATGGATGATATTTTGGTCGATTTGGCTCATTTAGGTAAGCAACACAGATAGACAGGTATGTCAGTACGGGTTTATATTGTTGATCTTTCTAGATTCTAAATTTTTAGTTTGGCAGTGGAGTTATAAGTGGAGCATAGTGTTTTGCATTTTCAGGTAGTCTAAAATCAATGATCCATAAAGATTAAGTACTTTTTGAAGTCCTGGGATCTCATTCATATCTCCATTACAGAGAATAATGGTTATTAGGATTTTATTCGTGACCTATTTGTATCCTTCTGACTGGTTCTTAGGCATAACAAGGCTGCATTTGACAATATTTGCTAAATTTTGGGAAATATTGTAATGGCTATTCAAAAAACAATAACTACGAGTGGCTTGAGTTTGGCCTGAGTTTGACAAACAGATTTAAATCCTCCATCTTTTGTTTTGTTGTTGTAGGTTGATTGGTTATTACAATTAGCCAACTTCAATTTTAGACTAGGAGGTAGCTGTAAGTCTGTATTAGTTAGTTTAAAGTGTTGGTATTGTTAAGTGGTTTTGTTTCAAGTCTCGAATTTAATGAAAGAATGCTTTTATGTAAAGCTGCAATGGGTTTGATTTGATTGCAGGTTTATGTCGGAATTTTATTGTAGATGTCTGTTTTTTGTCTTTTCCTTATGGTACTTTATCTGGTTATGTTTGGCTTATTGCAAATAAGGAGAATAGTTAGAGGTTAGATTAATGTTGAATTAAATCTGATTGTGTTTATAGGTGTTTTCCATGTCGTGCGATACTTTAGATCAGTTTTCTTGACCATTATTTGTAGTGCCCTTATTTTTTTTTTAAAAAAAAAAACCCATTTATATAATCTAGACACACATCTGTTTTGTGTTTCTAACAACTGAAGCAACCAGACAGATGTGTGCCTAGATTATATCAAATGATAGAATATAAAGGTGTACATCTGTTATCTTTAGACTTTGTTCAATGGCTTTTGCCCTTCTATTTTTATGTAAAATGTCCGTGCATATCTTTCTTTTAAATTAATTAGTTGCTTATGCCTTAAAGGAATGGTGAATATCTTGTGTCTGTTGGTCATGTAAATTCCTGAGTTTGGAGTAATAAGCCAGTGGTTCAAGAAGAAAATAAAGAAATTGCAATATTATGTTGATTTGTCCTTTTCTCCTGTCTAACTAGTTCTCTCCCACTCTGTCCTCCCATTTAGAGTTGTGATTTCCCACATATATGTGATCAAAAGAGAGCTTTGTAAATAAAGTTGGTGAGATTTTTGATCCAGGCCTTGGATATTTATTTTTGCCATGTTGTGTTTTCGTAGAGCTTTTTGAAAAGGCCCATTTTCATTTTACTTGTTTTTTTTTTCTTTTTCGGGTGGGAATGCCAAAGGAGGCAGTTAATCATCCCCATTCCCTGGTACCCTGGGCCTTCTATTATCAGAAAATAGGTTCTGGATATTGTGATTTGGAGTTGATGTGAGCAGTTTACTGAAATTTTTTCCTGAGTATTAATGGGAGTTATTTGTAATTGTCATCTTTTGTTTACATATCCTCTTATGTTTTTGGAGGAGGATCAAAAGTTCCAAGTCATGTTCTTTAATGTTTTCAATATGATCTTGGTTTTTAACGTGTTGAAAAAGAATGACTTAACCTTTTTTTCCCCTATCCTGCATTACTTTATTACTTTATGTGCCTTGATAGTTTATCTTTTAACGTAATGTATGTATGGTCCTGGTATTGGAGATATTTAAAAATTTCAGCCAATGGAGGATGTTTTGTATGCCTAGGAAAGCTACATGCTCTTGAAGGAGGCTTGTAGTTTTCCTATTTTTACCCTACTTTTCTCAATGGTCAAGGGATTAGAGAACCTCGTAATGAAATCCATCTCCTAAGAAGCATGGACATAGACATAGAGTTTTTAGACATGACACGGACATGGGCATGGCTAGGGTAGACTAACATGGCAACTTTGAAAAGATTAGAACGCTGAGATGATAGGGAAACGGTTGTGAAGTTAGAGAGTAAACGGGAGAAAGAACCTTTTGGGAAAAGTTGAATAATCTATTATGATATGATAGTACATATATACACAGAAGAATATGGGCCTTGGACCTTGGAACCTGGGTTTTGGTACAACTATACTATGTACATTACACTACACTACTTCTAGCAATAACTAAATGATCTGTGTTTATTTAATAATCATATGCATTATATTTAATAACTAAATCATTTTAAAACCAAAAATAACACAAATACTCTATAACCAAATTGAATACTTCATGCCTAAACACCACTCAACATGAACGTAGAACCACTACAGATGTATAACAGTTATTTTGTTTCTTTATTACCTAATTATATGTGATATATATGTTTATTTTCATAGTATTCTTGCAAAAGATTATTGTTGAGTAAATTTATTTGATAATGGAAATTCGTGTATCTATGTGCTAATACCTTGTGTCTGAGTATGGGGACAGGGATGGCTGAGTATAGGGACTTGTGTCCAAAATGGAAAAATTAATAAAAAATAAGACATGCCATATGACTCCTATATGTCTTTGTATATATATGAAGTATTCGTGTGTGATACATGTTGATATATCACATCTAATAGACTGTCCATGCTTTTAGTCCATCCCTTTGGTTAATGGATGAGATTTGCTATCTGATGATGACAGTAGCTGTATTTTCTTTTTCCCCCACTTTGATGGGGGAGGGTAACTTGTTTGAATCAAGTAGAATTTCTCTCTTTAATCAAGCACTGGGGAAAAGGGTCCATAGACATGTGCTGTGATATAAGTTAAAGATATTAAATATAGGTTGATGTATAGGGAAATAAAGTGGTTTTTCTTCTAGAAGAGAATTATTCAGAATTAGAAGTTTAATTCTGGTCCTTTCTAGTGTGGATGGTTGAAAGACATGCTTCTAACATGCACTTAATTTGGTACTCTGCCTTTTGATAAAGTTTTGCCTCCCCATTCACATATGATGGTTCTATATTCATCCCATGGAGGTCAGGTCCTCTATAACTTGGTTAAACTTGATTGAGATGTGCAACAATGTCAGTATTCTGCTTGATTCATACTGATAATGGCTCAAGATGTTCAACCCAAGGATGATAGTATTACTTTGTCATGGCTTGAGATTATGTGCTATACTTGGTTGACAGTATATAATAATATGATTTCCACTTTCCAGTCTGTATGAACCAAATCATTTTAACTCTTGCATAGTTGATGTTATAATTACTTATAAATATTTACAAGCGTAATGGTGCCTTTACCTTTTCTGCATGTGTATGCTGCATCCATCATGGCATGTTCTTTCAGTTATATTTTGTGTTCTTTTAAATTATAAGTAAAATGAAATAATTCTTTAATTTGAAATGTTTGTAGTTATCTAAGTGTAGCATAAAGTTTTACTTTGGAACTTTGATGATTGTGGTCTTTAGTACCGGATTTCCTCAAATGGGAAGAGTTGATCATCTGGGCAAGGTTCTTTTTGATGTTTGATAATTTGGATGGAAAAATATTTTCAGGATTGTATATGACTATATGTTATACGTGTGTCTTGCACAGTTGTTGTCATATGTTCCTATTACTAAATTACTCAACATACATGAAATTAATTTTTCTGTTGAGTTTTGATACCAAATATCTTTCAATCTCATAAATACATATATTTGTCCTTTTGAAGCATCTAAACTAAAATTGATTATGGACTTGATTAGGGGATTGTGTCTGATGATTTAGTAAGATGGATTTGTTAGGTCATTTAGTAAGATGGCTATTGTGCATTTTAGAAAATAATTCTTGTTTTATGTTTGTATTTTATTTTCTTCCTCAAAAACCCATTATCATATTCTGTTTCCATTTCCTAACGGTTCTTAATATCATTATGCCACCTACACTTGAAACCCTGGTTTTTAGGAATAAACATTGAACAAGTTTCCATTTCCACCCATGCTGGCACCAACTAATGTAATGATAGTATAGTGTGGAATTTCGACATTGAACAAGTGCTATGTGGCATGATTATGTATTAGAGAAATTCAATTCTATTATGTTCCTTTTCCAGGCACATCCATCGAAATGACAACTCTGATTTGAAACAAGCAATAAGGTGCCAATGACTCCTGCATCCTAGCATAACATTCATCATAATAAATTGTTGTCAGAGTAAAGTAGGGTCATGTAAATTATTCAGAGTGGTATATGCACTGACAGTACTAGATCTCTGTGTAACTTGCGCAGTTATAAAAAAAATCTAATTTAAGTATTCTAACCATATAATGTGCCAGGTATGTCTATTTCAAATAGTAAATTATAAGCCATTTAATGATGTGAATCTAGAATGCAGATTGGATAACAGAATTATCTGTAAGATCATGAATGACCTAAGGTTATTGATTACTGAAGGCATGTCTTTCTTGAGCCTGGATCAGAAGGCAAAATCATTAGTGAATTTTTGGTCCGTCATAGATTAAGTTACTTGATTAATCCTTGATGAGGTTTGAAGTCTGGAAAGTTTTAGAAATATGATTAGATATTCTTTTAGGTTGAGATTAGGAAACTTATCAAAGTGAAAAGCAGTGTGAGCTGCTATTTACAGTTTCATGGATACGTTTATTATCCGTCTGGATGTAGAGAATTATGGTCAGGATCCCCTCCCCCCATAGTGTTCGAGGAAAATTGTAAATTTTCTACACAAGAAAGTACTTATTCGATGAGAAAAACATATGTAGATCATGCATTTTGAATGCCGATAGTGCTAGCATTAAGTTCTTCCCATAGGTCAGGAAGACTTAATGTAAATTTGTATTTGATATGTAAATAGATGTATGTCATTATTTATTTGAACGTTTGATATCAGTTTTTTGTGCTTTTTTAATTTCTTCTGTCATATCTTAATCATACGTAGTACACTAAAATTCATTTTTAAAATGATAGAATGTGTTCAATTGTGAAATTCTTGAACCTGGAAGCTAAAAATAGTAGAATGACATTGACATGTTTATGAAATTTCTTACTTACTGAGAAGCAGTATTTAAGAAAAGAATATAATTATAAAAACCATATTTGGATTTCTGAGTTTCATTCTCATCTAAGCTTTATTCCAGCTATATTCAGCTGGCCATATTATCCATTCTACCTATATATTTGGATTTGTTAAATCAGTTCAGTGCCTCGTAGAGCTGCTGCATCCATGTTCATCTGAGCCTTAGTCCACTGTTCTTCCACCATGTTTGAGTATGGAATGAAAATATTAGATTGGTAATTTTTTTTTTCTAAACTTTTTCTTTGGTGCTAGATTTGCTTAGTGAGAACGATTTAGCATGTCTCAGTATTATGGTTGTCTACTTATTTTTTTTCTGGTCAGAGATCTGAGATGTAGTTGTAATTATGTTTGGTTTCTCATATTTTATCTGTCTACCTTTCTTTTTTTGTCAATTTTAGTTTTTTAAGAAAAAATTTAAAAATTTTCTTGAGTTCTTGCACTCACCTAACTTTATTGTCTCTGCATCTTCTGTATTGTAAAGCTAGGATTAGATTTTGACTTTGTTATGTCCTTGTTATCCTTCTTTGGTAAATTTGAAGCACTTATCTCAATGTTAGTTAATTTTGGTATTTTGTCCGATATGGCAAAACTATTGAGCTTACCATTTGCATATTCAGGCATCTACTTATATCATGTAGGATCAACTAGATCTTATTCAGCTAAGAAGTCAGACTGCCCATGGAATTTTCCTTAGAATGAAGTCAAAGTTTCATTTGGATGGTTCATGTGATTGTGGGTGCATTTGTGCACCTAAAAGAGTAGTCATGTTGACTTGTAACCGTGTTGGTCACACCCTAGCAAGACAATGCAAATGATACGAACCCAAGGACATAAGGAAATGGTGGGAATTTAACTTCTATATCTGAAGTCTTATACTAACTTCATTTATACGTTAATGTTCTAACTGAAGGCTCTTAATGTGAAAAAGGTTGAATATGAAATTTGGTGGTGCTCAATGCATAATGTTTCAGTTCTACTTATAGTATTGATTGCATGTCATGCTCTTTGGGGTCATATTGAATTGGTTAGCTTCAGAAGGCAAAAAGGGTACAGTTCTTGTTTGTGAACAACTCCATTTTATATTTCTTGTTTCTGTTCAGGAATTTATTGTCTGTTACGTAATCTGATTTGTCAATTGTTTATTAGGGCTCAGCACTTTGTACTCACTATGCTCAAAATGGAATATGCAAATATGGGCCATCATGCAAATTTGATCATCCACCGAGAACACTGAGTTACAGTCCATCTGCATCTTCTCTTGCTGATATGCCCATTGCTCCTTACCCTGTTGGATCTTCCAAGGGCACCTTAGCACCCTCATCCTCATCTTCAGAGTTGAGGCCAGAACTTATTTCAGGGACTAACAAAGATGCCCTATTTAATAGGATGTCTTCTTCTGTTACAACATCCAGTGTCTCCATTGGTTCGATGTTCTCCAGCAATGCTTCTGCTTCTCATGCTACTTTTCAGCAGTCTGGTCAAGCTTCTACCAATTCCACTGCCAGCATGAATACAAGTCAAGGGGGGCAAGTTCGTACATCAAGCTAATTAGATTCTAGCTTTATTTAAAACCTAGATTTTCTTTCCCCTTTTGTTTTTGGTCAAGGTGTCAGTACAGTCCCACGATTCGATCTAGCACACAGTAGCACTTTCATCTCTGTGTTCATACAATCTTTTAGGTGTCTGCGTCTTTCATCTTGAATAAGTCAATACCCTACTTCATAGACCACCAAACCCATACACCTTTCCCTTGTTGCTTCCAAATAACCAAGAAGAAAAAAACCACTTTCAGTAGGAAAACATGGGCATCCCTCCATTTTTGGAGTGTGTTGTGTCTATTTATGCTGTATATCTTCTTCAGAAGGAAAAAGGTCAGTCTTAAACCACTCTTCCACATTTACTTTTATGTTGTCAATTTTTAATACTTATCGAAATAGGGGAACAACCTTCAAACTCAGCGAGGAGTGAACTTGGAGGAGCTTCTGTTTCCCCTTTTGTCCACAAGGCTTTGTTGTTGTAGAAGAGGCAGTTTCAGAAACTTCAAGCAAGGCATTTACAGTGCTCTTATGGGATTTTAGATTATTAACTGAATTGCCTGATGGATATTTATAAATTTATAACCAAATACGAAAAGAAAATGAAGGAACAACCTGGTACGTCATAATAATTATTCCTCTCCTGTTACATTCACTGTTGTGAGATTGACAGTATCACTTCTCCCAGTTTTGCTTTTCAGACCATGTGTGGAATAATTTCGGGACGGTGATAAATTTTATTTGATTGTGCGCATGAAATTCATATTCAAGAAGTTAAACTTTCTTATAAACATTTTATTTCATTTGTTTTAGGAACTAGGAATAGTAGTTTTAGATGTTAATATGATTCCATACGGTCAGGAAACTGAAAAGAAAGTTGGTATCCTCAGGAAGAATGAGACATCATAATCATATTTATTTGTTTCAATTATTATATTAACAGTGGTTTCTCTTCTTGCTGGGAAGCCAGCATTGGTTTCTTTTCAAATGTGGTTTTAGCTTTCCTTGCTTTAGATGATGCGGCTTCCCATAGGGCATTGGTCTAGTTATTTGATTTTCAGATGTAAATTATTTTGCCATTGTGGACCCGATATGTGAAGGGATTGGAGCAACCTTTTAAATGGGCGTTTGCAATATTTTTATTTTTCTGATCAGACTTGGAGGCTTGAGATCCTGCTTGAAGGATAATATAGGCTATTGCAAATGGCCTTTCTGGAACACAATGGTTGAAATTCACACCACAAGCGCAATACCAGATACTGTCCTCAATCTTCAACCAACGTGTTACTAAATTAATTTTTCAACGTTGAGCATGATCCTTCATTAAGAACATCGTTATCCCAGTTTGTCTCAGATAAGGAGACGAGACTCGTGATTGGGCCACTTTTGTCTTGGTCAAGATTGGTGCTATATTTGATATTTCTTTCAAGAGTAGTGTTTATCTCTCCCATAAAAAGATAGGCTCCATACATGCATAATAAAAGAAAAGATCATCATTATCAAGTCATGCAAGAAACAGATGACCATAGTTGCCCGAAACGATTTTTGTTGGAAGACTCTATACACCGACCCCTTTCTCTCTCTCTTCATCGTGCTGACATCCTTTATTTTGACTACCAAGAAGTTCTTAGAAAGTGAAGAAAAACACTCAAGATCTACTAAGAGCTGCTTTCACCTAGATCATCACAATCAATCCATTTAAGGCAAACTTAGCTAACAATTATTTTTGTGGAAATATAGTATATACTCCATATTTAGAAACTCTCAATCTCTTTATCTAAACAATGTGTTCCAATTTACAAAATTCTTGTAAATTTTTGGCTGTAGTGTTTTGTGTAGGATCTAAAAGAGATAGTTTTTCAAAAAGGTCAAGATTCAACTAAAGTAATTTTTACGAGGTAATGTCGCAATCCAAAAATTTGACCAACTGCTTTCAAACAGAAATGGAGCAGGTTGAAATTTAAATGCTAATATCATATGCAATTTTTTAAAGTAAGACCTTTGAAAATGAAGTCGCTATCTAACTTTTATAGAAGTGTCTCTGGACACTCGATTCAAACAGAACTACCTTGTCGATTTGTTCGGATGTGGTTTTGTAGTGGCTTATCATGACTTCTCAAAAACGAAACTCAAAGCCTCTTCAGATCAAATAGTTGATGTTATTGCTTCTTACCTTTCTTTACTTTGTCATGTCCTCTGAATCTCTACAACCTCATTCATTTCACGCCATTACTTACTCCAAAAATCACTCCCACTATTCACCATTTTGCAAGAAACACGATCCGGGTCATCAAGATTTGATGTTACTACGGAGGAGGTTTATAATTGACTTAATGGTTTGTTTATATACATAGGACTAATAAAAACTCAATTCACATGTAACCATGAGCACAAACTGCATCCATCTGCCAAATTATTCTAGCTCTTTTCAAGGAAAGTTAATATAAAGTGAGTCAATAGCAATAGAATAACATTAACTAAAAGTTTTGAATAAATCAAATAAAGAAATTAAAAATTGTCATAATTGAAATTTGTATAGAAATCTATGTCATAACAATGACCACTCTTCATATATAGCGCTACTTCACGATAGTACAAAGTGTGTTGAAAACAAACTATGTAAAATTTAATTTAGACTTGGACCCAATCATATGCCAACTATTATGTCACACGTCCAGATGATTTCCAAGAGTTCGGATGCATCGGTCAATTAATATGCATGAGATTTAATTTTCTCCTATTGGGAATAAGTGGTTCAGCAATCCAAAAAGAAAAACTTCGATTTCTACCAATTAGCTTCATAGAAGAGTGCTTCAAATGATGACCATGTTTATGGACACAAGTCCCTAACCATTAACAAAGCTCTAAAACTTTATGCTTGATTTGTATTATAATAATAATAATAATAATAATAATAATAATAATAATAATAATAATAATATAATAATAAGAAGAAGAAGAAGAAGAAGAAGAAGAAGAAGGATTAACTTCATTAATATCCTCAATTATGACCCCCCCCCCTCACTAGTTAAACTTCTCAATTAAAAAGACATTATTTACCCCTCGAGTTCAATGGTCAACGTTACATTTAATGGTCAGACTCAACAATACTATGAATTTACTTATATACCTTTGATGGAGTCATGAAATTACAGTCACGTTACCAAAAATACTCTCACATATTTGCCAAATCCCTAAAATGCCATTACTTAAATACCCTAAATTGAGACTGAAGCATGCCAGTAGTGGTTGCTCATCAGCACATGCAATTTGTCTTTGGTGAGCGATATGGCCTTGTTTTTTTGGGGATACTATTCTTGTCACATTTCAGGGGCAGGAGAGGCTAGAAGAGCCAGCCCTATTCATTTCTGTTTCAGCCTTATACGTAGTTTCTAACATTGCCAACTTCAATTCAATGGCTTTCGGCAAAAAGGCTAGTGAGAGAGGAGCCAATGCTGGTCATTGTCCATGGCTGGGCCTTCCAATGAGGTTAGTTGATGTTCAATTAGCTAAACAGAGACCAACTGCAATATACTGAACCCAATACCAACCCCAATAACTCCATTGTTTCTTTTCTTTGCATCATTGTACACGACATTTTCATTCATGACATTTTGCAATTTTATAATAATATAATACTGAGAGCTATAATTTTTTCTTTTTATGACTTTGAAAATTGATATTGTAGTTTTGAGAGACATCAAGAAATAAGCCTTCTATGGTGATAAAATAAATTTGAAAGTAAGGCAAAATTTGCAAAGAAAACCTGGAAATTTAGTACAAAAGTGTTGATTTTTGACTAAGCACGATTAGTGAAATTAATTAGTGACTTAATCCTAGTTTTAAATTATTAATCCCAAGGACAAGAGAGGAATTACATGAATGTTTAAGGGGTAAAAAAGTTATTTTGAGAAGCAAGTAGGGTTTATTTTCACCTTTCTTTTTGTTCTATTCCTACCAGTATATCATACTCATTTCCTAGTGTCTTTTAGGTTTTTATTTCCTCTCTTAGGCTTGTGGAAAAAAATTAAAAATTTTCTATTTAACCAAAATTATTTTATAAGCCTTTTATGAATATCAATGCAATACACAAATGATACAAACATGCCAAAAAAAAAAAAAAAAAAAACAATGCATTAAGGTCACTAGTAGGTTAAAGATGTTATATTATGGCTATGAACCCTATCTGTTTCCACTGAATTTAAACTTTGTACCACTCATTAGGATTGTAGTCTCACAACTTCTTTTATCATGTAGATACCGAGGAGGATTGCTAGTGTGCACCTGCATTTGCATTATCTATATCAAATATATATCATAGCACATTAGTTGGAGGTTAACCTATCAACAGAGTTGTTTTATTAGTGTACAATTTATTTTATTTTCAATGAGACTTAAGTGGTTGAATAACAGTACTAGTGGTAAATGTTTTGGGGAATAATCATGACTTAGTAGACAATAGTTTATATGTTGGCTTATGCTTATGCTCAGATGTATTGTTTTTTTAAGTTATGTTTCCAATATTATTTTTGAGACTTACAAGCTTCCAGACTTAGGTGGGGGTTTGAGTTAGATATGACAAGGGTTTTAGTGACTGATACTCTGTTGTGTTTCCCAAATGTTGTGAAGTGTCAGGCATTACCCAGCTATCATGCCTTGTTTGATTAGTCAGGGGTGGGGTGTGACATGTGATACAGATAGGAGTGCCCAATGTGAATCACTTCAGTTGTAATTGGAAGAAGGCTTATGTCACACCCCACCCTTGTCGAACTTCTTGAGCAAGGCATGACAACGGGATAGTGACCAACATTTTCCCATGCCTAAAGTATTATAGCATGCTACCCACTGTAACCCCTATCATCACTAGTTCCATCAACATTACTTGTAATTCCTGTGGGCATTAATATATATGTTATCTAGTAATAAGCTCACATATCCACACACATGCCTTGTTCATGCAATAACCCACAATATATCCATACACATAGTCTACTTATGTAGCCAAAATAAATT